CAGCCGTCGGAGACTGGGGGCCGGCTCGGGTCGTCGGGCTTCCCCTGAGGGCGCGCCCAGGCAAAAGTTGGGCTTTTGTTTCTGCAGCGCCTTGAGCACTGGTTTCGCGGCGCCTCATGCTCGGAGTCGCTTTGTTTCTGTGGCGGAGGTGGTCTCCTCCTCTCCCCCTGCTTCCCTGGCCGCTCCCCACACTTCGTTTATCCCGGGCACCCCTTAAGCGACGTGCTCCCGACTTCGTGTGGTGGTGTTCGCATGCCTGCTGCCTCAGACATGTTTTTCACCGTTGTAGTGCCTGAAGCTCTGATGAGCAATGAAGGTCTTAGTTTGTCTTTGCAGACCCTCCGTTTTTAAGTTGGGGTTTGCTATTAAAAGCATGCGATTTTTGTCTTCAGTATCAATTAAAAAAACAAACCACCAAACTTGTCCTTGGACCTTTGAGGTAAAGATCAGTTTGTGTTTTGGCAAAGATGCTAGCTAAGTACTGTTAGTGACCCAAGAAAATCAGTTCTCTAGCCAAGAATAAAAAGGTCATATAGGGGATAGCTTTCCCTTCTCTCCTGCCTGGTGCACCCAGCCTCACTATAACGACTCATGCTCTAATCCAGAGTTCAAAACTTGTGGCTGCCACCACCTTTAGCTCAGATTTATTCAGTTATAATAAAGATAGAAAATCATGTTTTATCTGTAAGTGCGCTTATTTTAATGAGTCTTGTTTATCTATCTTTCTTTTGTTAGAAAATAAAATAGTCAAGGTATTTGTTCTTTGCGTTGCTTTTCCTTAAGGCCCAGAGTTTGGAGCAGGCAAACTGATGTTAGAGTTGAATTGTTCTGTCATCAGGTTTCCAAATGCATGCTGCATTCCCACTTTAAAGTTATTAAAAATGTAGTTAAGCTTTTTTGTGTAACACTTTGTTGCCAATACAATTTTGCAAGTTGTGGGAGGCAGGTACACCTAGTGTCCCTTTAATGGTCTTCTCACTGTCAGTGCACATAACTCATTCTCATTCTGTAAATAGCAGAGCAAAGTCTCAGTGTGTACATAATGACATCCATGTATCAAACTGTCTTTTCATGGGATGGGAGTGGGAGGAAGATCCAGAGCACTTGTCTTTACCCCATGTACACTATCCCACTGTATCGTTCCTGAAGTCTTCTAACAGAGTCGTCTGAATTTGTTGTTGATTTAAAGAGTCTTATTTTTCTGAACTGGAAAACCTATTTGGTAAGATTCATAGTTCCCCCTGTTTACAAGAAAACTGTTAAGTACATTCACAGAATCACAGAACATTAGGGATTGGAAGGGACCTCGAAAGATCATCTAGTCCAATCCCCCTGCCGGAGCAGGAACACCTAGATGACGTTACACAGGAAGGCGTCCAGGCGGGTTTTGAATGTCTCCAGAGAAGGAGACTCCACAGCCTCTCTGGGCAGCCTGTTCCAGTGCTCTGTCACCCTCACTGAGAAGAAGTTTCTTCTCAAATTTAAGCTGTGTTCCAGCTTGTGCCCATTACCGCTTGTCCTATCATTGTTTGTCACCGAGAAGAGCCTGGCTCCATCCTCGTGACACTCACCCTTTAAATATTTATAAACATCAAATACTGTGATCTGTGACTCCATTCCTTCTGTGAATGACTCTGAAGAGATGTCTATGAGCAGAGAACTGATCAGGAGATAACTTCTGGTGGCTTTTAGTGTTGGTCTGTATGGTACCTTACAATGTCAATATTATTTTTAGGAAGGAAGCAAGAGATGCAGTCTGGTTGTTTTAGTTTCTCTTTGGTTTTTTGTTAGTACATGACAACATCAGATTACATTGATTCCATTTCATCAGTGGAAAACAGGTCTTTGTTACTCTGTGTTACTGAAAGGAAAGTTACTCCTTGTGCATTTCAAATGTTAATGATAATTAGTATCACAGATAAGATAAATGAAGCACTACCATTAAATACATTTGGCTTTTATCCCAATGAGAGGCTTCAGGGGCATATTCTGATCTTGTTTTGTTGCTGGGGTTCTTTCTTTAGTTGGTTTGGTTTGGTTTAGTTTACCCCCTCTCTTCTTCTGTTGACCATAGAGAAGAAAGTGAGTTTCTTTTCATGGCTAAAATTGAAATTCCACCCTAGAATATTCTCTTCAAATATAAATTTTTGACCCATCTAGTGGGAAATTATTCTCTCATTACATTACTATTTTCCTCTAAATAATAATAATAATACAGGATAGTAATTACTGAGTTGGTTTTGGTTGCTCTTACAGTTCTATCAGATCTAGACAGTTTATCTGAGGATTCGTAGACTGCCCCATTAAACTGCTTCTTGAGCAGACTAGCACAGTAGCCTGCACAATGGTTTCGACTATCTAGAGGGGATATTCAAAAGATGCAAATAGATCCCAATGTGTGTGGAGCATATCATCGGTTCATCATGGCTGGTGTGGGTTGTGTTGATAGTCTGAAGCACTTGATACTGGGAAGATTAAAGGTTAAACAAAACAAAGATTTAGAAAGTGCCATCTGTCTTCCATCAAGCAGAGCATGGGGGAGGAGGTGTGCCTAAATGCTAGAAGATACAGAACAGGAAATCACTGGCATTTCACTTGATTGTGAAATTGTGTGCTGCAGTTTTGCTTTACATAGATGTGAATAAAAGCTGAGCTGAAAATGCCAAATCTGAAAGGTATTTGATCAATAATGTCTGGACAACGTTAAAAAAATATCTGCTGGAGAGCTAATACAGTTAACTCGCAGGAGGAAGGTATGTTGGTAGCTTCCTGAAAAATGCTTAAGATACCTGAGATCTTAAAATAAACCCCATGCATTTTTGAGCCTCAGGATTCAGTGCAGTCAGAGTAAGGGCAGGATGTACAGAAAATTGAGTTAATTCAAGTGACTTCTGCCTGGTAGGAAAACCTTGTAATGAAGGTTCCTTAGATCCTACTAAAGCACTGAATGAGATTTTATTAATTTACACATCTTCTTTACTACTCTTGCAATTTGATTCCCTTATGATCCTTTCCAATCATAAGGAGGAGGTACTGGAAGGAAGGTTGAGAGACTTGACCTAATCTGTTTGTAAAGGCGTTCAGTGATAAGTGTCTGTTGACTAATGTTATCTACTGACCTCTTCCAGCAGTGTTTCTTACTATTTGTATTCAACTGTTATAGCCCTATGACTTGGGTAGCATCTGTGTGTTTCTACCAGGGAGTCAAATCTGTCTCTTGTTCTGTTTCAGCATGCTGTACATGCAGCAGAAATGGTTTTGGTTGGTTCAGCCCATTTTGGCAAACGCAGTCTGGGTCATGGTGGAAAATCTAGGTTTAAGATAAAGTTAAGTACTGTGTGGCTTTGACCTGTGATGGGAACTTATAGAAGGGTAAAGCTCTTTTTTCCTGCTCCTCTAGCAGAATGCACTTGCTTTTCCATTGCACTGTACCTTCTACTCTCCAAATCTGGCATGTGGGATTATGAAGAAAAGCTGCAGTGCAGAGCAGTTTAAGGAAACTGGGCGATACCTATGCTGATCTGTGAGTCAATGACTTGGAGAGGAGGGAAGCTAACGGTCTCTGCCCTGAGCACAGTCCATCTGGGAATATCAATTTCATTCTGTGGATGTGTTTGGAAGGGTTCATTTCCAGTTTGAGTTTGGCAGTAGGCTTTAAACAGTGGCTGTTTTTGTTTGTGTAGTGGTGGTGGTAGTGGTCAAAACTGTTCGAGGGCCTTATTTAATCTTTTTTTCTGATCTCTGTGCCTTTTCAGATAAGCATTTCTGTGTATTTTAGCTATCAATATAGTCTCTTAATGGAGTAGTAATTGAACAATGCAAACTGAAATAGAGATCCTTTACTTCTAAGAGAAACAATTGTCTTAAAAATAGATTTTTTTGTCTTTTTTTTTTCCTAAGTGACTTACTGATGGCTTCCTGATTATTTTTTCTTCTTTTTGAAGTTGACAAAACACATTGCGCAAATATTGTTTTCATGCAAAATGTTTTGCATTGGAGCCATTTAAAGTCATCATAAAGTGTCATAAGTTTAGATTGAATTTACACTTGTTTTGAAAAGAATGAAAAGTATGTTTAAAAAAAAAATCAGACTTTGAAAATGATCTGCTTAATCACCTGAGTGATTCAGTACTGAAGTGGTACAGTCTTCTAAGCAACATGTAGTAATATGAATTAGTGGTGCAACTAACTTATTACCTGTGTTAACACATAGCTGAATAAAACTTGCTTGACTTATAATTCCATCAATACTATCGAGATTACTCTTAAAGAAACTGTAAGGAAAAAAACAGAAGTTAATGTCAGCAACCCTCCTGCAGGCAACTGACAGTTGTCACTACCTTATTCCTTTGTGTGTATGTGTGCGTGGCTCATAGAGTTCTTTAAGAAGTTCACAAATCTGTATTTTAATTTTTTTTGAATGCTTGTCATTCAGAGTCTTCCGGGTTACTCTGAAATAAATGCTATAGGTGTTAAAATAAACTGCTGTAAGAAAAATAATAGTAAGCTCTAAGTCAAGGTGTTTGAACTTCTGTAACTCCGCAGTTTACTTAGGCTTGTTGACAGTTCCCAGGCTGTACGGTCAGGTTAGCAGAGACCATTATCTGCGAAACTGTATGGTTCCAGTGACTACTAAAAGTTACTTTCTTGCAATCAAGCCTGGAAATAAAATATGTATTTAACCAGTTCTTCTGTGTTTAAAAGAAGACTCTAAGGCAGCTTTTAGCATGCAGAATGAATCCTTGTGTTGAAATGTCTTTGAAGTTCAGTAAAATGCTATTTCTCCTGCCTCCTCTTTAGCAAACTTCTATCTGCATTCTGTCTTCAGCCTTGAAGCCTCCAGGGTTATTGTTCTTTGAAACTAGATGTGGATTTTCTGTTTCACCGCCTGAAAAGTAGCAGTGCCCTTTCCAGTATTGATTTCTTACTTCAAGTATGTTGGAAGTGAGCTTTGCTTATCATTATATTATTTAGAAATATTTCTGTTGGTTTTTGTTTTGTTATTTTTTTGGTTTTTTTTTTTTAATTTTTGCAAATTAGAAAGAGGAAAGGGCAAAGTTGTGAGAATTGGATCTTCAGGTTTGGGTCCTTTTGCCATGGAGGAACATAGAATAGTAAGTAAAAAGAAGAGCATATTTTGTCTTCCTTCTAACATCTGCAAGAAGATCATCTTCACAGTTCTATCATTTTGTAATGACTGCCAGAGAATTTTTTGACAGTGCCATATATATTTTTTTTTTAAATTATTATTTTTTTTTAAACAGATTGCCAGGAATGGTTGATATAACAGAGTTCTTTGGATTCTTTTAAACAGTAGTCTAATACTCTTCCCCCCCCCCCCACTTCATATGCTTATTTTTTGTACTTATTTTTTCCCCCTCTTTCTATCTGATTTGTAAAGACTCTGCTCTTCTGCTCTGGCAACTCTATTATGGATTTTCTTCTTCCTTTGCCAAGAACATGATGGACTGGAAAGGTATTAATGAATGCAACCCAATCTGAGTTTGAATACCAGCCAGTGAAAGGGAGAAACTTGGGTTAGTCTGTAAGTACAGAACACAAATATAAGCATAAATCACTGCCTATGATTTACTCCATAATTGTCCTTTCTCTAAAATGTAGTATCTATCTTCTACTAGGTGCTCTTCTAAACAAGTACTTGTCTTGCTAAAATTTTTTTCTGCTTTAGTTTGGCAGTTTTTAGGTTCACATGTTTTTCCTCTAATGCACATATATAAGTAAAAATTCTGTAATCTAATAAAACTAAACACAAACATTCAGAATTTGAATTTCTAAATGAAGAGTTTTCTATTACCTTACATGACAGTTGTGAAAACAACTGCCATTAAGAAAAGGTGGAAACTGCTATTTGTATGAAATACCTATGCTTTCATATTATTACTTTCATCCCCAAATCAACATTAATTAACATTTGTGTGACTGTTTCTCGTGCTTATTCAGTTACCATATAGAATACCATTTGACTATGGAATAACACAGATAAGCTATGCCTTTAGTGGTTTTCAAAAATGGTCATCTCAATTCTTGTTCATTCCTAAGACTCGGTATTCTGATGCGAAGGTGGGAAGGAGCAATGTAATGCCTGACTGGAATTCCTTTTCTTTTCCTCCTTGAAAATAACTCAAACAGAAAGTTGTAGAAGTAGATTAATCTTCTTCCAGACAGTAGTTACTGTTTTGAAAATATGTGTTTAAACTTTGAAAGCCCTTTAAACTTAACTGAATTTGAAGAAGAGGTGGACAGTCTAGCTATGTGGTATGGTTTATTAGAGTTGAAAGGAAAGTGTATTTCATACCATTCATGTATGGGGAAAAGTTATTAATTACTTAATGCAGCTGCTCAGTGGCTAAAAGTATTATAGGGTTTAAGGCCAGGAAAAGTTCTTTGCTTAGAATGTGTTGGCAGGATGCAGTAGTGAGAGAACTGTTACAAGGAAATAATTTCAACATTTGTTAGGGCTGTTACCACATAGCAAAACTTCTAAAAGTCCCAAGCAAGAGATTGTTTTATTAAAATCACTTTAAGTATGAAAAGACCTAGGTTATTACATATAAATAGATTAAGAAAACCCACACACACACCACCGCCCACTTTAATTCTTCCTTATACCACCCACCTGTGAGCAAAACCCCACCAATTTGATATTTATGATAGATCTTCTGACCTTTTAGTAATATGTCATTAGTCTTGTAGATTAATTGTGATATTTTAGAGGAAATCTTTAAGTTGTGAACCATGTTTTGCTTTGAAATAAATGCCCTAGAATTTTAAATATTTCCCCTTAAAAAGTGAGCCTGTCCATAGACTTTTCATGCAATTTTTACTTCTGGAATCCGTCTGTAAATTCTCTGTTCTCGAGTGTTTTGTTTTCTTGTCAGTAAGCCGATCAGTATCTTTTAACTTTGTATGTGTACCAAAAGAACCACCATTCTAATTGGCTGTGCTGCTGTACTTGAAATTTTAAGAAGAATTAGCTACAGAGAAGCATATAAGTTCTGAGGTTTGTTGTTGTTTGTTTGTTTTTTTGCTTGGTTTTGTTTCCCTTATGACTGGAAAAACAGCATTACAGCAATTGTAAGATTTGTATTCTATAAGCTGGGTGTTCCAGCAGGTTAAGGGAGCTGATCTTTCCCTTCTGCTCAGTGCTGCTGAGGCCTCACCTGGAGTAGTGTGTCCAGTCGCAGGCTCCTCAATAAGAGAGACATGGACATACTGGCGAGAGTCCAGCAGTGGGCCACACGGATGATTAAGGAACTGGAGCATCTCACATATGAGAAAAGGCTGAGGGAGCTGTGACTTTTTAGCCTGGAGAAGAAAAGGCTCAGAAGGGGATCTTGCTAATCTATACAAATACCTGAAGGGAGGGCACAAAGTGGACAGAGCCAGACTTGTCTCACTGGTGCCCGGTGACAGGACCAGAGGCAATGGGCACAAAGTGAAACACAGGAGATTCCCCCTGAACATCAGGAAACACTGTTTTTCGTTATGAGGGTGACTGAGCACTGGCATATGCTGCCTTGGTAGGTTGTGAAATCTCCATCTTTGCAGATGCTCAAAAGTCATCTGGACATAGTCCTGGGCAACTGGTTCTAGGTGGCCCTGGTTGAGCAAAGGTGTTAGACCAGATGATTTCCAGAAGTGTCTTACAGCCTCGACCATTTTGTCATTCTATGGCTTTTCAGTTTAGAAATTGCAACATTGGAATTTGTGATCTATTCAAAATACAGTTTCCTGTTATTTTTTACTGCGCAAATCATGGTGGTCCCTTAACAAATGGTTATTATTGAGCCTTGAATCTTAGGCTAATGTTTTGTGCGGTCTTTGGATGTTTGGTCATGTCCTTAAGATTATTCGCTCCTATGAGTTACATTTTTTCAAAGTACTTTTCTTTCTAAAACTAGACTTTTTAAATGAAGTAATCATGTTAGTAACCATTTCTTTATGAAGACTTCCAGTACTGACTTTTCCTGAGACTGTAGTCTTAAGAGAAGATGAAGGTTTGTCGTTCATTTTTTTTTCAGGGGCTTTTTTTTTTGTCTGTCCTGAAGTCATCAGTATTCTGTGTAAGCTATTGAAATAAGACAGACAAGCAGTTGCTTCCTTCATTAAGGAAAAGTGTTTAGCAAGAATTATAATTACTGCTGTTTCCACTAATTTATTCTTGTCTATTTTGTGTATATGCAGAGCACAAAGTAATCATAGTGGGACTTGATAATGCTGGAAAGACTACTATTCTTTACCAATTGTAAGTATATGAACTATTTTGTTTTTCTGTTTACATTTTGGTATTTGTCACTGTTTAATCATTGAAAAATTAGCTTTGCAACCTGGAGGAATCTCTAGGGTTCTAGATCACAGTTTGTGCATTAATAGTACAAGTAGTTCTAAACAAAGTAGCTAAAAGATCAGGTTTAAAACACTGCAGTTCCTTGACTTAACTGTAAATTGAATAACAAAATTGTAAATACAAGCACAAAGTGAACTGCAAATTCTTTTGCCATCAAAGCCTGTATTTGTAAGCGTAGAAATAATCCTGTTGCCAAGAACTGCAAAGAAGAAAGTGATTTTTAAATTAATGGAAATTCTAGCTACTCTGCAAAAATCCATAAATGTTTCCAAATGTTTCCTAATTCCAAATTTGTCATGTATGGTTCCTCAAAAGAGTATTTCATCTTGCCTAGGTCCTACTGTAAGCATTTTCAATAGCAGCATGGCACCAATATCTTACTAGCATTACAAGACTATTTAGGATAAGTTCAAGATTATGGACACAATTATTGTAATTGTGGAAAAGGAGAAGGGTGTAGCCAAATTACCATGCATATATTTGGATGTGAAGGCAGCAGAGGATGTTGTCCAAAAAACCTTTCTCCTAAAATGTTTTCCTTTTGAAAAAGCTTAAAGGTAGAACTGAGAAATATTTAGCTATGTAAAACAAACAGTCCTTTGGAATTTATTTTAATACTGAGTTAGTAAATTGAGTGCTCTGATGAAATTATATTCTGTTTTATATTTTGCACAGTTTAGTGTTCCCCTTATTTGGGATCTTCAGAATAGCAGCTTCTATTTTGAAACAAGTACATTTTAAGTATCTGTTAAAGAATGTCCTATGAAAAGAGAAGCTTCTTAAATTGCCGATTCTTATCCTTTTGTTATAAGCCTTTTATACAGTTATTTTTCGTCGTCGTTGTCTACAAGCATGTCTACAGTCTCTGCTCCAAAAGCACCCTAGAACTTTGTCAACCACAGTTTTTAGTCCAAATTCAGATTGAACTAAATTTTTTACTAAAGACCTGCTCTTGAATATTTAATTAATTTCTATAAAAAATCAACTGTATAGCTTTTTCAAATATGTCTAGGTTTTTAATCTTCTTTTTTCTTAATCAGTTACCCATATTTACTTTTTCTATAACAAATTTATTACAATTGAGCTGTGACAAGCCCTGTGGATTTTACTGGCTGGTTTTTATGGTGTGATATTGTTTCCTTTAGCCTAATGAATGAAGTGGTTCATACTTCTCCAACCATAGGAAGCAATGTAGAAGAAATAGTGGTGAAAAACACTCATTTCTTAATGTGGGATATTGGAGGACAAGAATCATTACGGTCATCGTGGAATACCTATTATTCAAACACAGAGGTATGAGAAGCTGCTTTGAAATCTGCAAATTCAATAAGTTTGTTTGAAATTATATTTATTTATTAGGAATATTGGTAGAGTTTTATAAATAGTGCAGCTGCATTGTTTTTAAGTCTTTCTGAGGAACAACAAACACAAAGAGTGTAAGGTGTCTCTTATTTGAGTAAGTAATATTTGAAGCATTTTTCCTATATACTTTACAGTAAACTATGTTCTGTGGTATAAACTGTGAAGTTAGACTTTTTTTGTAGACAGTCGAATGATATCAAATACATTTCAGATCAAATGGAATTATTGCATGGTTTTTTCTGAGTAGATTAAAAAGGAACTTCTGCAATGTACTTTGCAAATTTGCTGAGGATTTGCTGTGGCTAACCTGTCTAGACTGAAATGTTTTTGAGGTAACAATAATCAAGGATGAGGAATGAAACTTTCTCTAGGCAGCAGTATTTATAAAGCTCATCAGCTTCTGGCTTTTATTCAAAGGACAGAGGAAAGTCTTAACTGTGCTGTACTCATGAGGTACTGGTAAAGCTGCCATTGCTGGAAGGATTGGAGTAGAACTCAGCAACAGTTGTGTTTTGGAGGTTTGGTTTTTTATGCCAGTCTTTTTGATGCCAGAAGTTTATCAACGCAACATGCATAAAAAAATCTCTGTAGCCTCACTTTGAGACTTCAACATTGATATAAAAGAGTTTAGACTAAATTTCTTACGATTTCTACTAAAAACAGAGATCTTTTGTAGATATTACTAATTACATAAACATTTCATCCTCCTATTAAAGGAGGTTTTCTGTCCTATGCCTCCCTTTGAGAGAGAGGAGATTAGTGATCCACCCCAGATATTTAGAAACTTTTTATCTACTGAAAGCCTGGTGATGACATCTTGACCTTGACCTCTAGTATTTTAAACTTATTTTTGAGTTTATCTAGAAAAGTATGGCTACATCTGAGACACGTACACATGAGCATGAAGAGACTTCTGCCAGCATTATCTGGTATAATAGCAATAAGTTCTTAACATTTGTCCCTTATGAATCTTTGATTTTGAGGTTTGGGGAGATGCATGTGTTAGTTCTTTTTTTGATCCTTTTGGGATGTACTTTGTCATATTCTGGCTAATAAGTGTTTGAAATCCAATGTTTTCTAGCACTCAGAAACTAGAACTTTCTCTTAGAAGCTTTGTCTGCTGGAAACAGTTGAGGAAGTGAAGGGATCTGTTTAATATGCTAATCCTAGCCTCCCTGATAAGAATAATTCCTTTACTGTTCATCATCTGCTAGGCATCTCAAAGTCACAGCAGCATTAAATTGACTTAGTTTTTTATACTTTGTGGTCATTTGCAATGGGTAATGAATCTCCTTAATTTTTTAAGGCAAAATGATTTGGAGCATATGTTGGAGATTTATTGTGGTGACTTCTAATCCTTCTTTTTTGTTACTATCTGTCTTTTCTCTCTTTCCTTATCTGTAAATTGAAGCAATCTAAAAACAATTTTTGGAGTGATGTAAAAAGAGAAAAGGGGTATGAAAGTATTCCTGTCTGGGCAGAGAAGTGATGGAGTCTCTCAGATGAATATGTGTTTAGCATGTGTTCCCTGTAATTTGTTGTTGTTAGGTTTTTTTAAATAGTATTTGTATAATTTTCATCAGGATGTGCTTAATCTCCCTACTCATTGTTCCCACCTATGGTACTGTTAGTGCTGCGTGGAGCACACTCTGGGCAGAGCAAGTATTGAACACTGACTAGTTGTTATGATTTGTGTACACATACTCTTATGTAAGGCTTACAAACACTTACTTGAATATTACTTACTATGTAACACCATGTCTTTTTCCTCTTGTTGTGGTTTAGGCCCAGTGCATAACCGAACACCACAATGCCCCAAAAAGGGCTAGTCAAAATAAGGACTGGGAGGGCTTCTCACCACTTAAAAAGGTCACAGGCAAAAGACAGACTCATCATAAGGAATAAAAAAAAAAACACAACCAAACCTCCCCAAAAAAAAGCAACAAAAAAACCCAAAACCCAAAACATCAACATCAGAGTAGAACAATGGGAGATAAAACCAGATCTTAAAGTCAAAACACCTTCCACCCACCCCTCCCTTCTTCCCAAGCTCAGCTTTTGTTCTCGGTTCCTTCACCTTCCCCCTCTACCCTTTGCGTTGAGGTGCACGGGGATGGGAGTGGGGGTTGCAGTCGTTTTTCATGCCATGTGCTCCTCTGGAGTCGGAAAACTCAGCCCAGTGTCTCTCTCTCTGC